ATCTAGACATGAAACAGCTGATGCAAGCGGCAAGTCAACAAGGTTATGTACAGTTGGAAGGGTTTTGGTTTTTATGTGGACTGTGGGCATATCAACAAATCCCTGCAAATTGGTCAGGGACATGTACTTTGGGGTTTGTCATTCCGGTTATCTATAAGTTAGATACATTACCTCCTGAGGTTCGGATCCGAAATCGTCGGGAATTGGATTCGGGTCTAACCATGGGAGGTAATCTGTGGACACAAATTTCTCGAGGTCTTATCCCGCCTTTGGGAATTGCTATGAACTATAGAGATATTCATATTTTAAATAATTTTACTGTTGCTATGTTTAATGATACTATAAAGAATATTAAGATGATTAATGTAGAAATGTCTGAAATTCGTACAGTTACTTTGCAAAATCGATATGCTTTAGATATTATGTTAGCTGCTCAAGGAGGAGTTTGTGCTTTAATTCATTCACATTGTTGTGTTTTTATACATAATTATGAGCCAAACATTACAAAAACTGTTCAGGACATGGAAGATCGTATTGCTCAGCATCAATCTGGAGCCGATGGGTTTAATGCATCATTCTGGGACAGTCTGTGGTCCTGGCTTCCTGATGGATCATGGTTTCGCTCCTTATTGCAAGGGGTTGTTATTATTATTGCTATATGTATCTTATTATGTTGTTTTATTCAATGTATTCCTAATCTATTACAAATGTGTACCTCAGTCTTCCGGCGTGAAGGATCAGGTCATGAGGGAACTGTGTACTATGCCACTAAAACACCCCCTATCTTTGAATAAATAAAAAAGGAGGGAATGTGGTAATATAACCTATTGATCATTTTATCATTTTCTGTAAGGCCTTTGTATAACTAGCAGTAAGTCTAGGAAGATGTGGGCATTCTTGGTGGGGGTAGGAGTATCTTTGCTCAGAGTGCCTCATTCTGTTTTGATTCTGCCAGTTTAGAAGGAATAGGAAAATGGGTGAAAGTTCAAGGTACAAGATACACAGTTGTGCTTTCTCATGGGACTTTCCAAACTTTCCCATGAGACTTTCCGTGGCTGTATGATCTCACCCTAGCAAGGTAACATCTGGGACTTTCCAAGATTGTGTGTTCTCATGCTGGTGAAGTAATCTCCTGTTGAGGTCATTGTTTTCTGAATATGCATACTGTATATTTTGCTTGTGTTTTTTCTCAATAAATACTGCTACCTGAGTTCTCTCAGGGTTGGCATTTTTCTCAGAGACAGTTCCCTGTGTCTCATTTCAATGTCAAACCACCATACACTTCATATCTAATCTGTGCTTGCCACATAAGCAATGGAACAATCCATAACCAGTGTAGTCATATCTAACATTAGAAGTGAGATCAAATATAAATCCTAGTCTATAACTATAACTGAATCTAAAAAACTCCCTTGATTCTACCTGATCTGAACATTTGTTTTCTGGCTTCTGTCCCTAAATTTGAATCACATTTCTTTCTTTCTATGTATTGTTCATACCAAAGGTTCAAGTACAGTATTCAGAAATCTTCAGAAAGAGTTCTATAATTCTTACACATAAACAGGCCTTTCGTTGTACAGTATAGAAATGTCATGTCGCCAACAAAGTCTCTTTAATTTCACCATCGCAAGAAAATGATTTAACTTGATACTGTACTGGGGAAAAAGGTGGGGGTGTTGCACAACAGCTAGTTGATCATCCTGTTAAACAAAAGACTAGTGTACTGTACTCTGAAAGACACATTACAGTTCAATACTGGCCACAGAAGAATAAAGCAACTCTGAACATTTAAGAACAAGTTGAATGCTCATGTTTCTTAAGCTGAACTTGGACTACATGTTTAAAAATGAACACAGAACGTTTTGCCTATAGTCCGCAATCATTTCGTTAAGTAATTTTATCTCTGCAGTTATTTTTGCTTCTACACAATGGGATTCTCAAAATCATTTATTTGACCAAAAGATCAGTTAACCTTTCCTATATGAATGATCTTTCTCTAGGGTGGTGCATTTTTCCCCATTGACAAATATGTTGTAATGGGAATAATGAGGGAGTTATAAAACTGTCTTTTGTCACTAAATGTGATGTGCTTTATGTAGTTCGTGATATTTGCATAATTCCCAGTATAAACACCAACATTTCTGGCATCTGAGCTCATGGTAGATGAAACAGTCAGCAAAAGTCTCACCAAGATAAGCAATAGCAGCAAGATAGACTACTATTTGTTTGTTTTCTTAAATGGTAAACATCAGCCAGAGTCTCAGAGAAGATATAACCTCATCTGAAACACACTTCTCTGCTAATCAGAAAATGGGTAGACTATAGCAGCTCCAATGCCCAACATTTGCAAACAATTCTATTGCAACCTTTGTGTCCATTTCCTATAGTCTACCTGGCGATAATCTGGAGATAATCATGCCCACTTATTCCATTAATTCTTTATTCTAGACTTGGACATTGGAAACGAACAATGGGAATTGTAGTCTCATACATTTGGAAGGGCTTTTTATGTGGAAAACCCATTAAATTTAGTGGCTTAATTAAAACACACACCAAACTATAGTATGATTGGTGAGAGTTCGGTTTAATCAATTGATTTCGGTTTAATCAAATGCTTATTTGGAAATTTCTCAACTTCTGAAAGTTCATTTCCTTCTGCATCTGCAATTCACTCTTTCCTTCTGTTCTACTGCACTTTCTGTGACTATGATGTCAAGAGAACAGAAAACATTCTTTAAATGTTATTCATAAATATTTCTAATATAATTCACTAATCCATGCCCTTTTGAAAGTCTTTATGACATTTTCATTAAAAAGTATATATACTTGCACACCCATTTGTGTGTACACAGATGAGAGAGGGAACTTGAACTCTAGTCAATACCTGTACACAACCATTTAGTTTTCTTGAAACAGAAAATTAAACCCCAAGCAAAGTGGTTTTCCATTGCCTTTTCAGATATCCCCCTAACTTTTCTACAGTCTAGCCTACCACCCTGGATTTCCCAAATGGTCTCCCTTCTACTATTAACCAAGATTGGCTTTGCTTAACTTTTGGAATGGACATAAGTCAGGATTGGTTAAGTCAGCATGGATAAGTCAGCATGGGACTTGGATGGTAAAATCAGCGTTTTGATGGAAGACTTTTACAAGCAAAGAACAGCAAAGATTTAGGCCAGACTGAAAACATGGACAATATACTGAAAGAAGGGAATGGCAAATGAATTTGGCATTATTGCCAAAAAACCTGCATACTAGAAGTTGACCTGCAATCAATTTAAAAAATGCAAAGTCTTAAAAGAACTGGAAACAGTTGAGAAAGAAGCACTGATATTCAGACACATTTGCTCCTCGATTATTTAACATACATTAGAATAGTTAGGGTTACCTATTACTCTAAGACAAGGGTCTCCAACCTTGGCAACTTTAAGCCTGGCGGCCTTCAACTCGCAGAATTCCCCAGCTGGGGAATTCTGGGAGTTGAAGTCCGCCAGGCTTAAAGTTGCCAAGGTTGGAGACCCCTGCTCTAAGACACACCCACCCACACATATTACACTTCTTTATACTACTACAGTGTGTCTATCCTGGAATATCAGAGTTCTCAACACCACTATATAGCAGGTATTCTGAATCCTGTCGCCAGAAGGGTAACCTAAATGAGATTTATATTAGTTCTTAGAAAATATGCTTGAGCTACTAGCATCAGGCCGAAAAATCTCCAAAATACATTTTATTATGTTAGAAAGTTTAGGGTGTTTGAGTCCTAATTCCGTAAATAAGCATTACACCTTAACGTGTTGTTTCAAAGAATTTTGTGGTAATATAAAATAGGAGTTGTTATCTGTACTCTAAAGCGTTACACCTTAATGTGTTGTAAGTTTTAATATATATATTTTTTGTAGTGTTGGAAGAAATATCCTTCTGGGTTCAGTTCCAAGTGGGGAAAAAGACACTGGAAACATGGAGGCTGTTTGGAAGGTTTAATATTAGGACCACATAGCCTGGAGCTCCAGAGTGAAAAGGAAGGATGATCACATGCTTCAAGCTGAAGGAAGAGATCAAGAAAGGACTGAGGTGCTGAGAGTGCCTGGGTTTTATACCCTCTGTTGGAATTTGAATTGGAGCTTGTATTCTGATCGGTTGTCAGACTCCCAGGGGCAACTCTGTAGGCTGTCCTGAATTCCAGGCTTGGTTGAGCTTTGCTGCATGATGCGCTGAAAGGGCTTTTGAGCAATTGCTATAGCTTTACCTGGAGATATTTGTTATGTAAAGTATTCTGGCCCAGGCCTTAATGGCCCACCATTAACAAAGGTGGGGGTGAGCTCCTGCTTCTGAGGTGAGTTTCTGCTTCTGAGTTTCTACTCTTTTTAGAGGAAATATTCTGCCTTTGTAATATTTCCTAGAATATTTCGATTTTCTAGGAAAGGGGTGGGTGCTAACTTCCTAGAGTAGCAACGATCTTAAATCGATTACCTCTTCGAAAAGAATGCAATAATTGTTCTGGAAGAAGAAAGAGAAGCCACGTGCAAAAAAAAAAAAAAGACCTACGGCGAAAAAGGAAAAAAAACACCCCCCCCCCCCCAAAAAAAAAAAAAAAGGAACCGAGATCGAAGAAACGACTGTGGAAAGAACAATCGAAGTTTTAAGAAACGTCGGAAAGAGCAGTTCGTTTGTTTTGCTCGTTTCTAAAGCCTGGAACGAAGAGAGATGGCGCGAAGGCCAGCAGCGCAGGCGGCGTGGCTTACGTGGCCTTGGCGGAATGTCCAGCCAAAAGAGATAAGCCATTTTGTCGTCAACGTTCGAAAAGAAGCCAATGGGCAGAGGCCAGATTCGCAGCCCGGATTGAGGGCGTCCACGCCGCGACCTCGCCTCCTCTTCGCGCTTTAACTTAACCCCGCGCGGTCTAGCGGCGCTGTGGTTTGGAGCGCCGCCTTCCGGCCAAGTCCTTTCTTCATGACAAGCCCCGCCCGTCCCGGCCTGGCCCGCCCTCTTTGGCTCGTTTTTCTCGGGATTATGTCATCTGGCGGCCGATCGATCCCTTTGGCTGCTCGTGTCGTCTTCCCGCGAGCGAAGGCTGCTGTGCTCGCTGTTGCTGCTGAAGGAGCGAGAGATCGCACGTCTGAGGTGCCGGAGCTTGCAGAGATCGGGAAGAAGGCAGGCTCGGCGGCTGGGAGTCTGGGAAAAGCTCTCTTCTCCAGCAGGCGCGTCTCCTCTCCACGCCCCTCACACCACCCCGTCGACCCGATCGCTTCTCCCGGCGCTTCTCGCCGCTGCCTTCCGCGGCTGTGGCTCGGCGGATCTCCTTGTCTTTGGGGCTCTCCCGCACCGGAGCCGGGCGGATGCCGCCGCAGCAAGAAGGCGAAAGCGGCTACATCAGCAAGCCGCTGCCGGGCGGCTGCGAAGTGGTGCCTCCGGTGCCTCCGCGTCGGGTCCGCAGCAGCCGAGCGGCGGCGCTGGGGGCTGCCTTGGGGAGCCGCTGCCGGGCTGGAGCGAGCGGTGGGGCCGGAGCCATCGGAGCGGAGCCCCGGCGGAGCATCAAGTGTGTGCTGGTGGGAGACGGCGCGGTGGGGAAAACCAGCCTGGTGGTGAGTTACACCACCAACGGCTACCCTACGGAATACATCCCTACCGCCTTCGACAATTTCTCAGGTAAGTAAATCAGTCGGTTGGGATGGGACGGTTCCCGGTGGGGTTTTCCAAGAAAGCATTTCATGCGTTTTCTCGGCTCTCCGGTTCTTCTTCTGGGAGAGCTCACACACACACACACACACACACACACCCATCCTCCGCTCGCTCCCGATCTCAGCTCTGCCTGGGATCGAGCCGACGGTCCGGCTATCCCTCGACCCGCTTTTGCTCGGCGGCGTCTCCTCTGGTTTGATTTTGAATCTTCCAGCTCGGGGGAAGGGGCGGTGCCCGCGCGGACTGAAGGGAAAAGTCCGCGTGGAAGTGAAGGTTGGCCTGGCCTGATCGCTCTTTCACGTCGGGGAGAAGGGAGGGAGAGTGCTGGGAAGAAAAGCTCGCACAGGCCAACGCAATGGATCGATCCCCAATTGCGAGTGGGGCGGGGTTCATTACCTCGTAAATCCCTGCCCGGGGGGAAAAGGAAGAAACACACACACACACACACACACAACCCCAATTTCTCTGCCTAGAGAAGACGCCGGCGTGCAAAGCAGCTGCGAGAGTCGTTTATCCAACCTTTGGAAGTGCAGACGATGCCTTCCTTCTCTCCCTTAAGGCGGGCAAGTCCATTTCTGACCTTTACTCTCGTTGATCCAGTAGGTAAGAGGCGAACAGATGCGGCTGGTTTTGCACACGCGATTGTGTAGCGAGTTCTTCTTGTTGCCGGTGTTAAATTCGGTAACAAGGACTCGCAACACAATCGCGTGTGCAAAACCAGCCGTATCTGTTCGCCTCTTAACTCCTGGATCAACGAGAGTAAAGGTCAGAAATGGACACACACACACACATTATATATATATATGCCACTTGTTAAAACTATGAGGGTAGCATGATGTTTCCCTCATTTGTTGGGAAGTTTCAGTCCATTTAGGGGAATTTATTGCCTCCCCCCAACATTAAAAAAATAGTGTTCTTTTTGTGTAGTTAATTTTGGAATATGCGCTCCTAATCTGTATTTTTCCACTAGTCCCGGTGATGAGGACTAGTAACTTGTTAACTGCATTAAAATCGGAATCTTTAGGAATGTTGTTAATCCTTGCTAGAGGGAGTGCAGGTGTGATACAGCATATAAAACTGAATAATTTTGGGGTGTTGGCATAGTTCAGATTTATCTATTTCTATAGCAGGGAGTTGGATTAGACCTTTCAACTGTGTTACTCTGTTATCTCGGGGTCAGGGAAGTTACACTCTGTTCTCTAGCCTTGGGTTTCTTATTCCTTTATTTTCTAGAGTATTGCACTTCTTTCTTCCTTTGGAAATCCTTTGGGCTAACTCATAATAATCCTTATCCTTTAAGACACAGGGTAACTCCTACTTGCCCTTCTTCCCATCAGGTTACTTTAGACTTCCTTTTGTTTTTTCTTGAAAACCATTGTGGGGGAAGCTTTCTGCTGCCTGCTTTGTGAATTTTTGTAATTACATTGCCCCTGACAACTTCCCTAATTATTTAATTTTAAAAAAGGTGGTGCTCTGAAGCGAGAGAAAACACCAGCTCACCATGCTTGTCTTTGGAAAAAGATCTTTCATTGTTACTTGACTTTTCTTCTGAAAAGGTAGTTCCCCCAGGGCGGTATCTGTGTTAAGTTGAATCTTTTCTGTAAGGTTTGGAGAGCTTTTATGTGCTTGAAAGCAAACACTGAACAGTAAACAGAGGGCTCCAACTGTGGGAGTTTCGTGTGTATTTCTTTCAGTGCAGGAACATGTTTTTCCAGCCAGCATTGGAGGACGTGCACTCTTATACTGACCTGATGTGAAAATACAAGGAATTTTGTGGTAATATAAAATAGGAGTTCGTTATCTGTACTCTAAATTGCCCTGTTTCCTGTAAGCCACTTTTAAGTTTACTGGACAATACGTTCCTTTGAATTTAGCGAAATTAACTCCCAAATAATAAGCTTTGTAAACTTGTGGTTGTACAATGGAAGATTTACCTTTTGTATTCATTGTTTTTCGTGTTTATTTTAATCACCGTATTTAGTTTTTTTTTTGAAAAACATTGTATAATCACCAGTGTATATATTTTTCTATTGTTGTGGTTTGTTATAATTCACCAGTTAAAAACTCCCAATGAAATATTTGACTTGTACAATTTTGTACAGTTTTTGAGAGTTTACATTTATTGCCTTATTTTTATAGTATAGTATACTGCTGTTCTAAATACCTGAAGGGCACAATTTTGCTATCAGTGTTGCAGATTGATAGAGTAACCAAAAGCAACATCTATTTATTTATTATCTATCACATTTCTTAAGTGCCCAGAGAGGAGCTTTAGCCTTGAATAAGAGGTGGGTGTGGGGAGAGGGGCAGACTTCAACCTAACCCACAAAGAACAACAGCAGAATAAAAGATTTCTCCACAGGGGAAATATGTAAATATTTGTATTGTCTCCTTTGTGATTTAAAGCATTGGGGAAGGAGTTCCCCAGTCTGTAAGCTTTTAAAACAGAACCTGACCACCCCCCCCCCAAAAAAATCAATCTTCAAGCATGTTTAGAGAGTGTTTGCAGAGCAAAATCCTCCTTTGTGTTTAGGACAACTCTCTTTTTGTATGGGGCAAATGTCTTTCGGTCACAATTTTCTGCTTTGTAACCAAAACCGGAAGCCCTGAAGGGCTTGTGTAAACCCAGGAATTGTTGGGAATAGTGGGGGAGGATGGGGAGAAGAAGCTGACTTGGGGCTCTGCAAGCTGTTAAAGTGGACTCAAACTGGTCCAAAGGTAAATGATTAAAGGGAGGACAGATGTAATTCTTCCTTCACGGGTAAAAAGTTTTTCTGACTCTCCACTTCCTTCCCATTTCAGCTGTAGTGTCTGTAGATGGCCGACCAGTGAGACTCCAACTCTGTGACACAGCCGGGCAGGTCAGTAAAGCTGCTTACATAGTTGATACAGTGGTTTTCCTGCTGTGTATGTGAGTATATGTGTCACACACACACACACACACACACATATCAGCACACATCTGCAAATCTGTGATGGAAAAAAAAATCAATCTTGGATTCCTTTTAAAAGATCCCACCTTCCTAGATTCGCAGAAGTCCTTAACCTTGGGGGAAGGGGCTTCCCTGGGGCACATTGGTTTCCCAGGTCAGACTTGCCCTAAGACCCTTCGACGCCTTCTCGCAGCTGCCATTGAGGAACTGTCTTGCTTTTGCCCACCTCCTGGCCTGCTTTTCTGAACCTTCACCTGCAGCCTTTGGCTGGGCACTTGGGTTGCCGTGGTGATAGCCTGGGAGCAGTGCCGCTGTGTCCCAGACAGTTTCCCAGGGTGACATGAGGAGCCCAGGAGCCCACATTCCCTCCTTGAGCCACGGCTGGGAAGTGGCTCTTTTGTTTCCCCGAGGGCCCAAAGTAATAACGGCTTCTTTGTCACCAGACAGTGACATTCCCTGAACGGGATATGCTGGCAACATATCCTATGGAAGAGGAAAAGAGTTGCTTCGTTGGTTTGCAAGAGCGTCATGTGTGAAAGAAAGCATGCGGTATGTGGAGATGTATTAGTGCGGTAGAGAAAGAGTGCAGAGAATGAACTTGTACCTGTGGGCACATATATATATTTGTATCTGGCAGCCTGTTTGTCTGATGGATCCGGGGCTGACACTATTTACCATTCAGAATCCAGAGAAAAAGCTTTTTTGTTCCTTGCTGGCCATTGGTGTGCTGGAATTATAGCAGGATTGCATAACATTTTCTAGGCTGAAGGCTACATTCGCTTTCAAACCCAAAAAGTGGATAGGAACAGGACAGAAACCTTAAGCTGGGGTCATTTCAATTATATCCAGTTAGAATTAAAAGTGATTGTGATATCCCTCTGGTCATGCATTAAAACATTTTCCTCTTCGGGTACATGACATATTAGAGTTCAGTAACAAACTTTGGAGGTCTCTTAGGTCCAGTCAAGCCTTGAGGGCTACATTGTGCTCCTCTGTCTTGGAAACTTATGTCCATCAACAGTAATGGAGATCTTTCTGTCTCTCTGTCTTTCTCCATCCATTCTTAGAGGAAGGTTTAATTCCTGGCAACTGCCTCAACAAGTTCCTGCGGTTTTCTTGGCAATGTTTTCAGAATTGGGTTGTCACTGTTTTCTTTCTTGAGCTGAAAGAGAGTGACTGACCCAGAGTCACCCTGCTAGAGGGCCAAAAAGCACTCTCCCAATATCTAGCCTAGTGCCCTAACCACTACATCAAACTGACTCTCATATATGACTTCAAGTCCTTCAAAGAGTAGAACCTTGGGTTTTGTCCTTAAACCTTGCCTGCCGTCTGTGCTTCCTATTTTCTTATCAAAATACTCCTGTGCTTTTTAATGGAAGACGTTTGCAGGATCAGGGGCTCAATACCCTTATTCCAAGATCAGATTAGTGCAGGGGTCCCCAAACTTGGCCACTTTTAAGACTTGTGGACTTCAACTCCCAGGGAGGATTCTGGGAGTTGAAGTCCACAAGTCTTAAAGTTGCCAAGCTTGGAGACCTCTGGATTAATGCAAAGTGCTTTACCCAGAACTCCCTTTCAGGATTACTAGCAGGTTTTCTCAGTTACTGTCCCTGCCTGGGGGAACACCTTCCCTTGAGACTATCCCCCCACCCCTAGTTATAAAGAACGGTAGTTACAATGCTGTTATTCTGTAAGGTTTGGGGTCTAGTGCTAGTCGTTGTCTTGATTTTTAAGTAGTGGAGACTGGATTTTTTTAAGTATGGTTTTTATGAAATTTTCAGGGGTGATTCAGATTGTAGGTTTCACTGCCTTTTAATGACTAAAAATCACCTGGAATTTTATGATGAGCATGGTGGGACATGCATTGTAAGAAATGCATGTCTTATTTTACTATTTCTGATTGACGTCAGATAATCAAGTCAGAGGAAGCATCAGCTGTAGGCCCTGGTAACCTTTCCCCCCTGGATTTTAGAAAGCCTCTTGGAACTATGGATGTTAATGCCATTTTTTTTGTCAAGCAAGACTGTTTCTGGAGTGTGTTTGGTGATGATAAGGGATGAGACAAGAGCCTTTGATTATCTAGGGGCTTTCACATTTCTACCTTGCTCTGACCTCTCCATTTATTCCTCGGTTGTGTAAATTTACAATTGTTCCCCTGAACTGCAAGACGCATAACATGATTTCTAATTATGCAATTATTTAAAACGGCAAACCTTGTGGGTACACATGGCTGCCATATGGCACCCCCACATGCATGATTCCTTAGCCAAGGGATGAGTGCTTTGTTTTATTCTTTGTTTTCTTGGAGTTACATCTGTCAAATAAGTGAGCTAATGAAACCTTGCCTCCTAGATCTCAATTTTCCTGCAGATTAATTCAAGTGAAAAGGGGGGCGCACATCTGTAAAAAAAAAATTTCAAATATGAACCTCAAACCACCCCAAAAAACCTTTGTAAATTGATAAACAAGTTCCACCTTGGCAGCAAAATGTTGGCACAGGAGGGATATTTCAGAGCGTGTTTGTTTGCTCTTTGCACGTGTTAATTTAAGGCCCTCTGACAAACATTGCTGGGTTTTAATTAAAATACCAGCACAAGAGACAAATCCTACCTCTTCAGGAGGCCATTGTTGCCATGTTAATATTTTCCTCTGTTTACTTTCCTCGACTTTAAGCTCTTGGAACTTGTATAATTATCAGGCTGTTCCCTTTTTAGTTTTGAGAACTCTCTTTTTCCAAGAAGAAAGTTGAGTTCAGATCTAACAAGAAAAGCCAAGCTTTTTCAAAAGCGTATTATGTAAAGAGTTCCAAAATGGAGCATAAGACAACGTTCATTGTATTGAAGCAGGAAGTTGGGGAAGGAAAGTATAAGGGGTTATTTTTAGTGCAGATCATTGCAATACAAGGCAATAGTAAATATTCATCTAAAGCAGGTGTTTGTATTATCAACATGATTTTTGGATGCTGTATTCTTCCCTTGGTGTGTCAAATTTGCGAGAAATTAGTTTCAATATTTCCAGCAACTTTGTCTTCAGTAGCAAAACTTCTTTGTTATTCAGTAAAAATGGATGGATGGATGGATGAACAAACAAACAAACAAATTTCCCCTGTGCAGAGAAGTGAAAGATAAGTAAATATGGACTAGTAGAAGAGTGTTGTTCTTGGGATGCAAAAAGATGCTTCAGATTAAGTTTGGGCATACATGGTTTGTCTGTGGCTGTCTCTTTAAGGAGCCACATGATCTGGGGTGGGGGTAGAGAAACATTTGGTCTAAGGCCGGGGTCTCCAACAGTGGCAACTTTTAAGACTTATGGACTTCAGTTCCCAGAATTCCTCAGTCAGCTGGCTCTAAGGAGAAGTTGATGATCAGCAACAAGAGGGACAGACCCAGTTACAGTGGCAATAAGTGCACATTGTGATAGTAACAATTAAAGTCATCCAAGGTTTGAGCACTAATTTTGAGCCAATACTTCACCAGATACAAAATTCATTTTGGCTGGTTTCAAAATTTAGGTTAAACTATAATTTTATCAGAGTGTGGGTAAATCCCATGGTTTTAAACCAGAGCTTATTTTAGCATTTATTGGATGAAAGAAGCAGTCCCTTGTGGTTTGTCCAAAAAAAAAAAAAATGGCTCAATGTGAAATGCAATCCTAGCAGTTGTATTTCAAGGAATATGTTTTGAGTCAACTTAAATTCCAGAATTCTGATTTATTCAATTTATTTGATCTATATATGCAGGCATTGGTTGTGCAGACATTCAGTTTGCTACCTCCAAAGCATTAAAGGAAGGAGGGTGGAAAGGACACTATTGATAAATCTCATGCCCATGGATCATAATAACATGCTATTCTCTATAGATTAAATAATAAATTAAAACAATTAATAATTATTAATAAATGTTATGATATAGTTTAAGGTAACAGATTTAAGCTGAAACAAAATTTGTCTAGTGTCTGTGTATTTATTCATTCTCTGTCCCCACCATCCCTTATCAAAGTGGCTCTGGAGTGGTGTAAAAAGCTAAAATAGTCCATTAATAATTAACTTCACCAAAGCAACTATTAAAAAGACAACAAACAGTAGCATAGATATGACCCATTCACAAATTTTGTGCCACGGCATTAAATATCTTTTGCATTGGCAGTTTATGGCCATTTTATGATTTTGATCCCTGAGATACGTTAGGCAAGTCTTCTTCAATTGAATATGATTATATATGGCAGTGTTTCTTTTCAATTCAAATATTTTTAAATACTTTTAATACTTTATGATTCTTCAGTTCATGAAGGTCTCTAGTTCTTCCATTTTCTCTAATTCATAGAGGTATTCAATCCATGTTGTACAGAGGTTACCCTTGCGGTCTTGGAGGGGAGCTCCATTCTCACCTCATGATCATGGATAACAAGACATTAATAAATACTTTATGTGTATGTCAAACCCTGACTGACACACACACACCCTTTTTGCATGTGCATAAAGTAGCAAAAAGCAAGGCAAAGCCCACAATAGGTGAAACGTACACCTAACAACCACAACAGGTGAAATGTACACTCAACAACCGTACATATGCACCATGGGTATATGGCCCCACAGATCATGAGAACCACCTGTAATTTCTGTTCTCCCAACGTCAACAATAGTTCCTGCCTTCTGTTAAAAGGCTGCCTCTTTGAAATGAATGAACAAAGGTTGCATCACAGCAAAGCCAATCCCTTGAATCAATTCTATTTTCCAAATATGGTTGCCAGCTAATGGTGATGCTGAATGCTGTACCTGGTTGTGCGCTCACTTCTCTATTATGGAACCACATGGGACAGTCTCTTTGAGGTTTTGCCCAGTAGTTGTGTCACAGTGCACAACTAAATAATTTTCCATATGAAACAACAAAAATAAAATTGTGTCATGGAGTTCTAATTTCCTCTACAGTTGTTAGTTTTCTCTGTTCAGGGATTTTTGCCTTCCATGTCCTCTTTCCTTCTCTCTGAGCCAGCATTCAGACAACTTGCTACATGCCACCTTGGTACAGTGGATGGGAATGGCTCTCCCTTGCAAAACAATTATGGTTGTTATTTTTATAGAACATGTTTTGTGCTCATTTAGTAGCTGATAAGAATGATTTTGCTATATATCAGTGAGGAAAACCCCCACTTTGTATCCTGCACTTTGCTTTTAGGGAGCATAGAAAGACCCCTTTTTTACTCTAAAGTTACTATTCACCTTACTTTTATTTTCACACAGGATGAATTTGACAAGCTCCGCCCACTGTGCTACACCAACACAGACATCTTTTTGCTGTGCTTCAGTGTAGTGAGCCCTTCATCTTTCCAGAATGTGACCGAGAAATGGGTCCCTGAAATCCGATGTCACTGCCCCAAGGCCCCTATTATTCTCGTCGGGACCCAATCGGACCTCCGAGAAGACGTCAAAGTACTCATTGAGCTTGACAAATGCAAAGAGAAGCCTGTGGCAGAGGAAGCCGCAAGGCTGTGTGCCGAGGAAATAAAAGCCGCCTCTTACATCGAGTGCTCCGCTCTGACTCAGAAAAACCTCAAAGAAGTCTTTGATGCAGCCATTGTGGCTGGCATTCACTACTCGGATACTCAGCAACAGCCAAAGAAATCCAAAAACAGGACTCCAGACAAGATGAAAAACCTCTCCAAGTCCTGGTGGAAAAAATATTGTTGTTTTGTATAGGGTGGAGGGTTTTTTTTGTTTTTGTTTTACAAAGGCCTTGGAAATGGTGGTTTAATCACTGAGGGCGGTTTGAGGTGACTTTGGCTGAGAATCTCTCTCTATTCCAGAGTGCACAGTGAAGATCTACCCCTAAACATGCTGCTAAAATTATCTCTTTCCAAAGGAGATGGAGAAGAGCGTGAGCTGAGAAGCTGAGGTTGACCAAACTGAGGGTTTTCCCACTAGTGGTAGTTTCTTTGTTGAGGACCGCTGGGCCTACACTTTGGAACTGAAAGTTGAACCATGAATTCACTGTATACAGGTGTAGGAAGGGTTCTCCTAAGACGTCTGCACAACGAGTGTGAGGAACTACCACCTAGTCAAATTATTGTTTTCCAAGTGGATGTCTAAAACTGTGCCTCTTAGGACATTTGGCTCAAAACAGAGAATTTCCCTGCCTGCATTTTTAATCTTGTAGGCTTCAGCCCGTTTCTGAAATGTACATGGTGCAGCTAAATTAGCAGAAACTGCACGTGAATCTGATATATTTTTCTTAAAAACGATATGCCTACTTCATGCACAGTGTGGGGATGTCATAACAAATAGAGCAGCTGTGCAAAATTGTATCTTTCTTGTATACCCTGACTGACAGATCCCTTTTACACCATGAAATGTGCATGCTTGTTGGCTTGGAAAAAAGAAGAAATCATATTTTGAATAGCAATGGGCTTCTTTTCTATTTATAGAGGATATATGACAGTTTATTCAAAGAGGTATCAGTATCTGCAGAAATACGGTGCAAATCAGGGCTAGTCTGACTTACCATTGGTCAGTTGTAATCTATAACATGAAAGGTTCTAATTTGAGGAAATCTTGTTTAAATTCACATGGAAACTTTTTGCCATAAGATAATCTCAACTAATTTTCTTCTTTGCTGAGTCAGGTATCACAAAGCTGTGTCATTGAAACAATATTTGCTCATGTAAGATAAACTGGAATGGAAAAAAAAACTTATTATCTGTTCAAAATTCCAGAAAGTCTATTTTTTTTTAAGTCAGGAAATTTACTCTGAGTAAATGTGCGTAGTTGTTGGGAAATGACTTTCCTTCAAAAGATGCCAAATCTTTTACCGGCAATGTTCATGTAGCAATAAATGATGGCAAACACTGATTTACCAGTGCTCATAACTACTTGGAGGACATGCTTTTGTACAAGTTTTATTTGGTCTTCCATATTTGAACAAACTGAACTTTGGCTAAATGCCACTTATTTTGGTGGCTTGGGTGACTTTAGGACCATGCGAAGAAAAACAAAACCAAGACAGCCTTTCCTTGCAATAGATTAAACTAAACTGCATCTGAACTGTTGTAGATTTATTATGTAATTGCACATCTGTTTTGGGGATTCCTGTTCTAATTAAGTAATGCAATACAGAGATTAATTTAAACTATAATTGGGCTACTTTAGTAGCTTGTTTTTTCTGTCTAATTTTTCTCCCTTGCTTTTGATGTAGCCCTTTGCATTTAAAGTATGATCAACCTATGTTTGAACTTAAGAAATAATTCTTTATCATTCCTGGATGAGCCTTGATTTCAAGTATTCTTTTTCCACATGGCTCTCTTTTTTATATAGATAGATACATTCATGTGCTAGGATAAAATAACCCAATTATTAACTTTTGTTTATAAACTAACTACATTTCACTATAACATCTGAATGGGAATTCTAATTTTTAAAAGCAGATTTTTTAAATGCCGGGAATAAAACATGTTGGAATAGATTTTTGTCTTAAAAAAAACAACACCACACTACAGGATCATTAGCACACCGTGGCTGGTGCTAACCATAGCTTAGCACTGATCAAATGGGTCATTGACTTCTCTCCCTTCTACAAACCACCAGTAATTTATTTTGCATCACCTGTATCATGCAAAAGTAATATGATGGCTACCTCATATCAGATGCCTGAGAGATAACCAAAACTAAACCAGGATTATAGATCCTAGATCATGTGACTGCACTCCAGCAAGAATTTCTGCATCACCCTGAACAACTCTTATGAATATCAGGTTAGCAATTTGTCATCCGTTATCTTCCATATTTCTTTTACCACTATACAGATTTTCTTCTGTTGCAATGTAGTTTTGTTTATTTTAGACTTCGTATGATACATGACCAGACATTTGGGTTAAGAGTTTTGTATGAATTAGGCCATTGGGACTTGTTTAATAAGCCATGTTAAGAGGTGTTTAACAAACCATATTTTGATTAATCATGTTGCCTAAATTGCAGCATTGCAATCAGAGGCCCATATCAAATGAATATTGTATGCATCTGATGAAGTGGAGGTAATTGACAAATCAAATAATTTTTAATCCCTTAGTATCTTTGTGATTATGCTGCAGCAAATTCATATAACTAACCTACCTGTAGGATTGCTGGTTTCTTTCCACTAAGTGTACTTGCATTGGTATCAGAGGAACTGTAGATAATTGAAGATACAAAAGCTTTGATTTCCTCCTGATAGATAAATATTGATGTTGGTACTTCCACAACACCATTGTATCTGAATTGGCCTCACTGGAGTCCATAGTTACCATCTGGGAAAAAGGATAAATAAAACTGACATGAGAGGCCTGTAGATGGCTACCAAATTTGTTTCAAGTCTTGTGTAAGATGCCAAGTTGAAAACTTCCCAGTTACCTGATGGTCGAGGTGCTGAAAACTTCTGCTGTCTAGGAATCCATTTTAGCTCAACTTTGGGACAAGTGTTTTTATGTCCTTTAAGCCGCCTTGAGTCACCATGTGCGAGTAGGCGGCAATATACATTTTCTAAATAAATAAATACATGAGTAGTTGCCTAAGAAATTGATTAAAGATCTTGAGGTTTAAAAAAAAACAGGTTGATTAGGATGTGCCTCTTATTGTAAAGTCATGAATTCTAACTTTTAACAGAAATAAGGGCATATAGTAATTGCATGTACAAATGTGTAAATTAGGGGGGGGGGAAGCAGGGCAAAGAATTCATTTCAGGTGGTTCTTCACTGCACATATCATTTAGACTTTGAATCTTTTCTCTTCCACCTGTGCTATGCAATAGCATGTTCAACCTTTTACCTGCCAGCTGTCTTGGACTATAAACATCAGTATCCACAGTGGCTGGGAAGACTCTGAGTCATAGCCTAACGTAATCTGAAAGGCACAGACTGAGCAGACTGCTTCATGGTATCATCTTTCCATCCATTCACATACATGCAGTAGAAGAAAAAAAATAGATGTGTGATCATCTTTAGATAATAAGTGAAAGACAGCATGGATACCTAACGGTGTGACCAAGTGTGGCTAAAGAGCAGTTCTCTGCACCCTCCAGGTTTCCTGTCCTGTTTCACATCAATTGATTAGTGTTTTTTTTTTTAAATGGGCAATTGACACATTGCAAAGGAAAGTACTAACCTTTGGCACCCTCTGAATTTAGAACACTCTTTGGAGATTACAGACATTGTTCAAAACTAAAGGCAATAGCTGTCTGTAGCCCAGGACATTGTCCTTGCCTATAATTTTTTTTAAAAAAAGAGGAGGTGGGTGGTAGATAAAAGAAAATTATTGACTCCTCTCTCTCCTGTCCCTACTTCCTGGTCTTGGTTTGGATCAGATTTGCTCCAATGTTTAAAAAAAAAAAAAAGGTTCTTCCAGAGAAAAATAAAAAGTTTTGAAGAACTCATTTTTAATCCCAAGAATGCATAATCTAGAATGCACATCAGCTGTTTTACAGTCTCACTAGAATATTAATGTAAAATAGTTTTCATTTAAAAAAAAAATAGATTTCCCCTTCTGCTTTTATTACTGTGCTATGAAAACAGGTAAAATATGGACAGATGGTTTTAGAAATGGGAACGTCCCTATTTGCTGCTAAGATGTGGGAATAGAAAAGAGAATAGATGCATTCCTGTAAGTGAATAGTGATTAATTTTGTGTAATTCCACTAAAGATTGCTTTGTAACTTGTAATAAATATTTTGTTTTGGTACAAACAAATACAGCATTTTGGGAGTACTGCAAATACCAATATACTGCAGGCTGCCTACATTTTTTCTAGATTTTGGATAAGGGTTGTTTTTGTTTTTTTTAAGAATCTTACTAGAAATGTGGACGATTTTTTTCTCCTATAATTTATTATCTGCTGTGCCTTATGAAAAAGGGTTTTCAAAAGTGTGGTGTGTGTTGAAAAATGAGCTTTCCAAAAGAACAATATAAACCCATTTTCCATCCTGAAATAAATCTAGAACCCGGGGCTTAGAGTTCAATGTTTCCTCTTGTTCAGTCTACAGTCTCTGACAGGTAAGGCTTCTTGGATACCCTGAGAAGAATTTCATCCGAAGAGAAGCATTTCAAGGCTGCTATCTATCATTGTGGCTTAAGTTCCTTCCTCCCCCCTTAATATCCTAAAATAAATCAGTGTTATTTCAATGAAGCAAGGATTAATGGAGCTCCAGGAGGCCATCTTTGGCCTGCCCCACCTCTTGAATTCTCAAGTTGATGTGGTCCATCTGACTTTGGATGCGGTCTTGGTAATGGGAAGTTCAGATGTTAAGTTTATTGCTGGACTGAATGCTAGCCTTAGGAAATAATCTTAAACCAGGAAGATGAAGAACCTTCATTGTAATGCAAAAGGAAATCCCACCTGTTGAGTATTTGAAGTACTGACAGTTTAATTTTATGTCTGATTAATCACAAATAAGTAAATGTACATTGGATTTTAACCTAAAGTTGTGAACCTGTTATTAATAAGTCTTTTCTCTCCACCCCACTCTCCCAAGATCCTGAATAGGCCTAGGTCCATGAAACAATTGAGATTGCTGAAAGGAGCCATGGTTTCTTGGACTGCCTGGATAAACGGTGTCATTTCAAAACTTTAAATGTCAATTTTACTTAATACATTATAATCTCATATTTCTTTGGGAAGTAAGAAATGGCCAGGCTTTTTTTTTTTTCAACCGTAGCAACTTAAAGATACTGGAGCTTCTACTGTCAGAATTCCCCAGCAAGTTGAGACATTTTAAAATTGTTCAGGTTGAGAAACATTATTCAGGACAGTGTATAGTCATGTAAATTGATCGCCCTGCCCCACCATCTTGCAAGCCTGAAAACTGTGGCCCAGAATCATTCAGTGAACTTTATGATTGATGGGGAACTTGAAACTGAATGAAGTTTCCCAGTCCAAGTCCTACTTCTTAACCTTTATACAGTATTACCCAATGGCCAATGATTTCCAGGGGATGTGGAGGCACAATGAGCGCCTCTTTGAGTGTGAGAAAGGATGGCTTCATTTGTTTGTTGCCAAAGTCCAAATTTTGGACAGGCTGCTCTGTTGGCATGGCTCACACTTCACCTACTTCATTGACATGTTTACTGAGCTTTTATAGATCTGTTTGTCCTGTCTCTAGACAATAATGGTTAAGAACCAAATTACGAACTGCCTTCTGCACTGCACCAATCAGATTTTTGTGGTAATTCTGACCAACCGTCTGCTTTTCATTTAGATGCTACAATTTAGGCTTCTCTTTCATGCATGTATGAAAAAAAAAAATAGAAAAAAAAATAACAGTAGGCAAAGAATCCAACCTACATGTGATAGAACTTCTTAAAGTATTTCAGTGATGTGCTGTTGGTAATTTTCTAGCAGTACCAAGTTGTTTTTTTCCTCTCCTATACTGTAACAGGGTAGTTTGGATTTGGGGAAGGTTCAGATTCTATATTGTGACACGTTAGTACTGTATTAGTTTGGCAAGAGACTAGAAAGAGATAAAGGCACATGGCTACACAAAAAGCAATGTATTTTTTAGGAGAACACAATTGCCCATTTTTACATAACTACTGAGCTACTTCATTAAAAAATGTCAACAATTCAAAACAAAAATGTGTATGAAGGTTTAAGTTATTTTGATCTTGCACCAGGAAAGAAAAAACCTCTAGCAATATGCTATAGATTAGTTTTTCTTAATCTGACTCTCTTCACATTTGCTTGGATTATCAGGCTAGTCCGGACGATCTTATAGGTAAACCCAGATGTTTATCCCCAGATTTTGTTAAAAGTACCAGAATGTATGCAGCACAGAGTCAAGGGATGTATATGGGGTATATAAAAAGTTAAGATTGTGGCTATGGCTGCATAATACTAATCCTACCCATTTGAGTTTTTATACAAACCAAAAATGGGGTGAGTTTTGATGGCTGTGCAATATCTGCTTTTATTTGCATTCTGGAAACTAAGGCAAAGAAGAGGCCCCTATAACTTCAAAACTACATTTTTGTGTTTAAAAATAAAATGAACAACTCTGTATTAAAATCCAGATATGACAATTGGGTGGCTGAAAGCCAATAAACAACCTGAATCCTGGGGAAGATTGAGATGTTTTGCATGGTTGGTTGCCAGATATAGGAACTGGGAACTGGATGGATGTGTCTAGCACTCTCAAAATATGGTTGGAAGGTGCTCCAAGAAACCACTAATGAAACAAGTTCAAGTATTCTGTTGTACCTTTCAGTTACTCTTTCAATTCTACTTTTTCCTGGGAATCGTGTTTATTATGCATTGGTGATCTCCTGTTTTAATATTTTAATGTTCTCTGCTATAGCTGGCGATCATTTTTTGGAATGGGACAGCTGGTTGTGTACTTGTTTTTGCTGAATCAACTGCATCAATCAGCAACTGAGTCAGGTTCAAATATTTGCTTATGTTTATAAGTCCTTAAACAACTTGGGATCTGAATATCGAACAGAGTGGATATTCATTACAAACCTAGTTGACCACTAAAATCATCAGAAAGTCTTACTTCTTCACTCAGGCTTTTGATTTCTTCTCCCTGGTCTATTTAAAAAAAACTATGTTTTTTTAAATTGTTTTAATAAAATAAATAAAAAATGTGATAAATAATTCAAGGTAAGCAAGCTTTTCACATATAAATGCCATCCTAAGTAGATCTTTATCTTCCAGTAAAGAAGATCTTGCTGTCTGATTTTTTTTGGATACGGCTCAGGCAATTCTCATTCTTGGAACCTTTTCAGACACACATGGATCTTAGAAGCAAGCCTGACTTTTCTCAACTTTTGCAGATAGCCATCTGGTGCCATTTTATGGCTGCTTTTGTCACATCTGTTTTAGGAACGAAAGTGGGGAATAGCATTTCCCGAAGACAACTCCAAAATAGTCCTTGGATTTTATACTTCCCTTTCCTGCCCTGAGCAATTCTCATGAACTTTCTTCCCTTTCCTACCTACAGCCATGTCACTTCAGGATCCCCTAAATTCAATTTTACCACTGTGGAGTACAATAAAATGTCTCCAGTACACAGGCTTTCTGCATAAGAGGTGATACTCTCCTGGAGAATTGACCCCATTTCATTTCCCTTTCATCTAATTTCAGATCCCAGTTTTAATGATTGGCTGCTCTCATGGATCTTTGCCCAAGAGGTGTGTGTTTTATTTTATTTTTAATTCTGTAAAGCTGTAGGTATGCCAGCCTGCTGATTCATTATTCTAGTACACACATGATGCTCTATTTGGTTACCAAAGGATCCATATTTGGAGAACAGCACTAATTTTTAGAGTCTATGATTGCTGCCAAGAGCTTTAGAATTTGGTGTCCCATTTGTAAGAACCAGGTATACAAGATGTCAGAAGTGAAAAAGAACACGTGGCAGCATCCCTTTCTATTGGATTGCCGTTGGCCTGCCTGCTCATCTTTTCCCTAACTTGAGCGTGAAAGGCAGCCCGAGATGAGAGAGAACAGCAGAGGCAGAATTTGTCCAGTTCTGATTTCCATTGCTACCATATTTATCTATAAACCATCCCAGCTTTTCTACAAAATTATTTTAGGAGGTAAAGGAGGCCTCAGGATGGGAAACCTTGCTTTCCAAACTACAACAGTGTGATGACCCAGAGTGTAACACAAACGTAACAAAATTCCAAAACGTAAATAAATGTCCTTTAATGCCTCCAGTTTGGCCCCACTGTTCAATAATACTCAGTTGGAGAAAAAAAGGTACTCAGAAATAGTCTTCAAAAGAAAGCAATACAGTCCAAATTTAATGAGCAGATAGAGGTGAAATAAAACACCAAACAAACTACAATGATGAAATGTCCACAATGGAACAAGAGAAGTATTTACCAAATTCAAGGAGATAACAAGGCACAGTCTATTGGAAGGACGCCAACCAAGATAACTTCAGACCAAAATAAAACATGCTTTGTTTCCAGGGTTTGCCAATATGCAGGTCCAAACTCTTATTCAGTTCTCACATCTGCAGCCCATGAAGAGGATCAAGGTCCTCTCTTCCTGAGGAGACCACGTCTCTCCCTTATCCTCTCCTTCCTGCTTTCCTCCCTGCGTGCCCTAGAATGGATAGGGGATGAGTCTGGGTCCTCCTCTGACTGCTCAGCCTCCTCCACAATCTCCGGAGCCACACTTCCACTCCCTGTCAGCTGTTCTTCCTCTCCCTCAGAGTCGGTCTTCACCAGGGGCATGACAAACAGTGTCTCTTCGTTTGGAAGA